TTGCTAAATTTTGAAAAGAATTCCCCCCACACACACACACAGGTCGTAGGCAAATGCATTGCATTTTCAACTCAGGTTTCTACCGAGTGGCTGGCTCTCTGCCCCGCTGTCCCTCCGACCTTCCTTCCTCTATCTGGGCTCCATGCAAAAGCAAGGCTGGCGTTAAATCCAATAAAGACTCGCCTTCAGGGGAAACCAAAGTGGCAACTAATCTACTATGCTCCAAATAGCTCAAGTGTTGATGAGCTGTCCCAATAGGAGGATAGGATACATCATTTCCTTAAATTAAGATAAACGTTGAATCTTGCCCACGTTTGGTGACAACTGTCTGTAAAGCAATAATTATACTTTGCTCATCAAAGAGAGAGTGGCAATTTTTAGAGATCAAAAATAAATCAGATTTCTCCAAATAGACGGTCATCCCACTCCAGCTGCAGGTCAGGAAAGAAACTCTGGAAAGAGTTTAAAAGAAACTCTGGAATATTTCCAGATTAATTACTCATAGTAGACTGAGATCTAAATTTTGCCAGGAAAATTTAAATCGTCCAATGGTTCCATTAAAAAAAAAAAACACCAATTGAAAATGGCCTCTCATCTGAATCCACCACCTCTTAGTGCAAAGTGGAGCCTCATCTGCAGTGTTAATTAGGCAAACATCTCAATATATGGGCTTTAGCTGGGAAGTGATTGGATGGAGGTCTCCAGGGATTACCAGCATTGTAAGAAGTTTAAAAAATGCTAGTTAGGCTATGGCAAACAACCCCCTGTTGCAAAGAACATTATACAGGGTCATAATGTCATTAATAGGCCAAACTCAGCTCAAAAGAGAGTTGATCGAAAGAGAATGGAGAATGCCTTTGAGTCAGTGTTGGCAACTCCCTGGAGAAGACGGTGCAGTTTTCTTGGGAAGATTTCAGAATCGGTTTGCCCTTGCTTGCTTCCTAGGGCTAGGAGAGTGACAGGCCCAAGATCACCCAGCTGGCTCTGTGCCCAACACGGGACTAGAATTCACCGTCTCCTGGCTTCTCGCCTGATGCTTAACCGCTACGCCAAAGACCTGCCTACGGAAGGGGTGCCTGCTCCAGGGTGTTGAAACATAATCCAGATCCTGCAGAGGGTCTCACTGTTGGGAGAGATTCTTCCATGGCGGGGGAAGCCAGCTTTCACCCCAGATCTGGATCTGGACTGAATATCTATCTTCCGGTCACTTGTATGCTTAAGCTGCTACTAGTGAGTCACCCTGTATTTTCTCATTTAAACTCGAGGAAGAAATACCTTCTTTGTTCTCCTGGGCCATGACTAAGCGGGATTGTTCTCAGTTGTCTAAAGATGAAATAAATGCTGCTGCTGCTGCTGCTGTTTCTTTTGACTGCTTATGGGAGAGAGCAGATTTAACGGCCCCACTTTCCTGATGGGCAGCCCAGCACCCCTGCCAAAGTAGTAGGCTGGTGTCATTCTACCCCCTGCAATTCAGATTAAGATTTTCTCTTTTTTAGTTTTGGTGGGAAATAACCCATAAAGGAAAAGATGGATGTGCTGCCTTTGGGGCGTGCTCGACATGAAGGAGGGAGAGGGTGGTGAAGTGTTCAGGGACAGGAGAACATTGGATAGCTACGTAACGTAAGGCAGACAAAGCAAAGTGGAGCTCTCCAGGGCTTCACATTCAGTTCCAAGCAGGTGACCATGAATGTAGCGCCTCTGTGCTGCTCTTTAAAGCAGATGTGCCTCCTCCGGGGTTTGTCTAGTTGCCCTCTACACACTCCAAAGCGACTTTCTGGAATCCACTCCAAAATGCTGCATGTTTCTACCCCTCGGCTGATCCCTTGTTCGGCTCCTGAGCTCCAGGTTCTGGAAGTGGAATGAAGACTTTCTGACTTTGCAGGGCCTCTCAGTGGCCCCGATACAAGGGACAGAGATGGAATGGACAAGTTCTATTCCCTTTTTTTCTCTCCCCCGCTTCTATTCAGCAGAGACCAAACGACTGGTGCAAAAGGCAGACGATGTTTTGTTTTTTCTTTCTTTCTCTTTCTAAGAAAGTGGGGATGAAGGAATTTTTGTTGCTATAGAATTAATCATGTTTTTCAGTAGCAGAATAGTTGACCAACTTGGCAGAAGGGAAGCCAGTCACTGATCCTCTACGGGTGACCTCTGGCACGGGTGGCGGGCGGGCCCAGGCCTGACTTTCAGCAGAATTCACTGTGTTGTATCTTGCCCTGCAGTCAGAAAAAATAACCCCAGCAAAGATTATGCCAGAAAGTCATAGTGCACCTTGTTTCTTTCTCCCTGTTCTTTACAGGAAGCTTCAGAACAAACAAAATATAAGAAACCCTATTTATTTTTCAGAATAAATTTGTGGAAGTAGAAGAAAATAGGCTTGGGTGTCTGGGAGGGGGGGTAACTTTCTTTAGGACTACCATGTGCAGAGATAAAACATTGGTTGCTTTCCACCGGACATCATCTGGGTGGAAATTCCACCCTGCTCTGCTCACTCAGTCACAAACATACCGTAACCCCCACAACTTTGCAACTGAGGAAGAATCTATCATAGCCACCAGTGCAAATCTTTTTCTAAAGACTGTAGAGATGTGAGTTATATTTTGGGGTGAAGCTGGGAAGCTATGAGGCAAACTTTTTCGCATTGCCTCGTGCTACAATTTCAATGAAAACCATCATCCAATCATTGAATTAATCAAAAACAACAAAAAAGCCAGTTTTTAATGATTGTTTGCTCACATCTAGAGCCTCATAGTAATCCATAGCATAATTCAGCCAATGCTGAAGCAATAGAAAGGGTGCATTTGTTGACCATACTCTTATCCGTATCCAACAAGTTTTGCTGATGGATGGTGTCTGGCAAACAGGAAAGAATACCCAAAGAGTAAAAATGGCAGCCACAACACAAGCAATAGTAATACATGAAACACAGGTAAAAAAGGAACAGGACTTCAGATGTGTAATGGCAACTGCCATTTTGACTTTTTGACCTGCCTGCGGACATCCTGGGAAAAGAGGAAGACTCGGATGCTTCCCTTACAATATGAGGATGGGACAAGGCTGGTTTCATGAGAACGAGGGATGCAAAAGGAGGACTATGCCCCAAAGAAGAGGGAGTCAAGAAGGCAGGACAAGAAACAACAGACGGAAACTAATCAAGGACAGAAGCAACCTGGAACTAAGAAGAAATTTCCTGACAGTGAAGACAATTAATTAGTGGCACGACTTTCCTCCAGAAGTTGTGAATGTTCCAACACTGGAAGTTTTTAAGAAGAGATTGGACAACCATTTGTCTGAAATGGTATATGGTTTCCTGCCTGAGCAGGGAGTTGGACTAGAACAGAGGGACCCAATCTTTTGGGCACCAGGGGCTGGTTCTGTGGAGAGTGGTTTTTCCACGGACTGGAGGCAGCATGGTTTCGTATGCTGCCTGCATCCGGGCGATGGGGCTTCACTTGTTTGGACTGGTTTCTGACATGTACGGACCAGTGCTGGTCCATGGACCACGGGTTGGGGACCCCTGGACTAGACCTCTGAGGTCCCTTCCAACTTTGTTCTATTCTATACTCTATTCTATTCTATTCTATTCTATTCTATTCTATTCTATTCTATTCTATTCTGCTTCAATTGATCAAACCTGTGATGGGCCACAGAGGTCAATATCTATGGACCTATCTGGAGATGACCTGGGCATATAGAATATGGTGACTTGGAATGAAGGAGTAGGTGGTGAAGAGCATGAATTAACTAATACCGGTAAAATTAAAAGGAAGAGGAATAGTTATGTCACGTATCTATGCAACTAAAAGTATTGGAAAGGTTCCAAGGAACCTGAACGAAAGTGGTCAGATTGTACACAGATCACATTCATCAACATTTGCAAGGGAAGTTATTATGAAGGAAAGGACTGAAATCGATATTGCGACATCTGAATTGCTGTCATCAAGGTTGGTCTGGGTGTGTATGAACCCACAGGTTGGGGGTAGTTTCATATTATGTTCCAGTGATAATGAAAGAATCAGTGACACGTTTTGATAAAAATTGTGCAACCTTATGAATGTGATCCAAAGGGGACGAACATATTTCTAGGTGAACTAAATGCAATGAGGGAAACACCAGAAACCGTAAAGAAAAAAAATGTTGGACCATTTGGAGACCGAAGAATTAATGAGGATGCTGACTGCTTAGAAAAAAGTCTGCTTGCTTTGAATTAATGGGAGTAAGCACAAATCTATTTGCAGGTATCTCTGGAAAAGGAATGAATAGAGAAGGTGGGAAATACGGAGGTTGCTATGAATGTATATAGTTAATTACTCTGTTTATGAATTTGCAAACTATTTAGCGATGCTAAGCGATTTGCAAAAGCAACACAATCCAAGGAAAGGGCTATTCGTTGTATCAAACGCTACTTTCAGGGAGCCCAGCTCCTCGCCTTCTGCAGACGTCCCACGAAACGGGCAGATGCCTGACGGGGGCTCCTGGTGCTCTCTGAGCTGCCTCGTTTTCTTGCAGACGTTTCAATACCCGGACTAGCTGACCGCCTCCGCCAGCTCAGAGCGCACCGAGGACCCCGCACGTCGACCCTCTCCCTCGCCGGTACCAGATACGCGCAGAGGCCTCCCGAGGGCGCGGCGAGGGGAGCTCCGCTCCGGCCGGTCCAGCTGGGGGGATGCCCTGAGTCCCCCGAGCGCCTCCGCCCGCGCCGCTGGCAAAGAAGCGGCCGGGCAGCCGAGCGCCGCCGCTCAGCCGGAGCCCGGCCGGGAGCCAGAAGGGCGGCCCGGCCAGGCCCGGAGCTCCCCGGGGGACCCTCGCCTGGCAGCCTCGCCCCCCTCCGCCCCCCGCGCCAGCGCTCAGCCCCGCTGCCCCCCCCCGAAAGCTCCGGCAAAGCTGCCCCTCGGGGGGCGGGGCCTGGCTCTTGTCATCCATTTGGAATGCGCCGCCGCCGGAGGCGGACCAATCAGCGCCCAGCCGGGGCTGATATATGGCCTCTGCGGCGCCGGCAGCGGCGGGCGGTCATCCGATAGGTGCAGCGCCGGCGGCGTCTGGACGCGCCTTGGACCGCCGCAGCTTCCCGTTGTGACCGTCCCTCTCCGGCTGGTGAGTGCCGGGCTTTCCGCTTCGGAGCGGCCGCGGGAGGGCTGGCGAGCGGGCTGGCGAGCGCCGCCGAGCGGGATGCCGGGCAGCTCCGGAGCCCGGCGCTTCCCGCGGAAAGGAAGGGCTTCGCTCGCCTTCGGGGAGCAGCTCGGGCCCCGGAGACGCCTTCAGACCTGCCGCCGCCGCCGCCGCCGCGGGAAGAGGCGTTGGTGCTCCCGGGAGGCGGAGGCGGAGGCGCCTGCTGCCTGCGTCCCGCCGAGGGGCTTCGCCTGTTTGCGCAGCCCGGGGGGGTTGTTGGGGCGCCCTGCGTTCGAAAGCGGCGGGGAGGCGTCCGGTGGCAGAGCCGTTTGCATCGCCCCCCTTCAGAACTCGGGACTCTGCGGTGGGGGAGGCGGGAGGCAAGCCCGCACGTCAGAATCCCCTCGGAGTCGGGGGAAGCTGCCGAGCCATTTTTCTTAAATGTCAGCCAAATTCACTCCCCCCCCCCCCCAGTGCTCTTGCATGCCGGCTTCTCTCCCGGCAGGCGATCCTCGCCGTTCGCCCCCCTCGTGCTTCTCCCTGCACGCCCGCCCGGTCTTGGGTGTGGATCTGTGCAGGGAAGCCGTCGGGTTGGCTCGCTCGCCGCCTTCCTGGGCTGGGGCTCCGAGGACCCCCCCCCCACCCGCCCCAGTTCTCTGCCTTCGCCTTGAGCGCCCACGGAGGCTCTCCGTCGTCCTGGTTGTCCCCGAGGGGCTTTTTCCAGGAGGCGACCGGACTTCCTTGTTTCCCTCTGAAGACGTTTCGCTTCTCATCCCAGGAGCTTCTTCCGCTCAGGGCGGCGGTGCCAACTAGAGGCGCTAATAAGGTGGTTGGAGGTCTTTGCAGTGTTGTAGGCGACCGAGTTGCTGCTGCTGACGATTGGTCTGAGCGGTGTCCCCTCTTTGTGGGTTTTTGAGCGTCCATAGATGCATGGCGTGGCTTCCCCAGGGTAGAGGCGGCAGTATTGTGCCTGATCGAATGAGAAGCGAAACGTCTTCGAAGAAGAACAGGAAAGTCCAGCTGCCTCCTGAAAAAGCGCCTTGAATGTTAATTCGGCAGCCTCTTTGGGGCTGGAGAGACGGCCAAGCGCCTTTTGTAACCCCCCCCCCGCCGCCCGTCCAGTCTGCAGCCGTTCCCACCCAGCAGGAAACCGCGCCTGGGGAGACCCCGTCGCTGCAGAGAAGCCCAGCTTTGGCTTCCCGGAAGTTGCTGCTGCAGGGCAAAGCGCCTCCCGAGCGCCTGGAAAAGAGAGGGCGACCCGGGACTCCGGGACTTGCCGAGACAGGCCTTCCCTGGGCCGGCTGAGCTGCTCGCCTGAAGCAGCCGGACCGGCTTTTAATCTGCATATAATTTGTTCTGCTTGCATACGCAAAGGGACGATACGCTAAGCGGTAGAGCTGTTGGGCAACCGTTCCTTTTGGCAAAGGGCGAGTCCTGGTTGGAGGAACGGGGCGTGCAGTGCCGCCGTGGGAAGCCGAGACAACCGCACCACGCGAGCTCTCTCGAGGCCGAGAGAGGAATTGCGTTGGTTAACAGCAACGTGACTAGTTCTGTCAATTAAGAGTTGATTAGAGAAGGTAAAAAGGTGGTATCTGATTAGGATCTTGATGTCGTTAGAAAGACCGTAGGATTTGAAGCTTGGGGATGTATAGATAAATCCCATTGATGGGGGACAGGTTAAGCTCAAGCTTGCAGACTGGATGGAGCAGGGACGATGGTCTATTACTTCAGCCTGGATTGGGAGAGGCTGGAAGCTGCAGCTGATTATCATCTGTAGACGTTGTCCTTGCAATAGTGGCAGCTGAAGGCGCAGGTACACCTCTTCTAAGGATGAAGGTCAAGGTACCTTGCAGCCCACGCTCTGCCAAACTCTCCCGACATCATCTTTCAGCCATTTAAAAAGGAAAAGCTTGAAGGTATTACTAATTATTACTACTAATCGGAGGTTGAAACCTCTCAGAGATCTACTAACAGATTATATTCTTCCTGATAATCCCGAGTCAGAATGGATAAATTAAACAGGCACATCTGTTCTTGCCAAAATAGCACAATTTGATCCGATGTGTCTTTGAATTCTCTCTTTTCTAAAGCTCACTGCTGCATTTTCAGTAAGGCATCTAGATTGCTATGCAATCAGTTCTGCATTTGCTTACTCAGAAATAAAATTCTGTGAGCTTTATCTTCAAGCAAATACACAGAAAATTGGAGCCTTAAACTGCAGCTCTACACAACTTACTGAGGTTTACTTCTGAGTAAATGGGCTTAGGATTCTATCTAAGGGATTTCTTAAATATCTGAGTGGTTAAAATCCTGTATGAGAATGAAACAGAAGAGGCTCCATTGACACAATATGGGAATAAGCTAGCAAAAACACAAACAGGCTTATGAGAGTCAGCAGTTTCTTCACATACAGTTTGTTCTCTATTTTCCTGCTGAAGTAATTTTGCAAATTTATGAAACAACCTGAAGTGAGTGGTTTGAAATGGTATTTAAATTCAACAGTTTTTTATCCTGCTTCTTTTTCACAATTTCCACAAAATAGCTTTCTGAATCAGAAAAATGGTCATTTCTCGCCTAATTCAGCATCAAAAGGGTGATATATGCTTGCTGGTTTCCTAACTTGTAACAGAATTGGTACTTTGGTCTGTACATGCTGGGAGATGAAACATCCACCAGAGTTGTAAAGATGAGATCATCACTTGGGGGAATTAAGGTCTTAGTGTCAATGGAGCAGGAATCTGTAATTCAGTTTATGCACACTCATTCTTATGTTAAAACTTTTGCATTGCAAAAGCTTTATAAAGATACTGTCCAATTTCTAAAATCTCCAGTCTTTAATATACAGGAAACATGGATTTCAAGATTTATGGGAGGAAAAAATATTGCCCCTCAAATTCGTTATTTTTATTACTTGGAAATATCCAGTTAAGACATTGTAGTATTTTTTGATTACCGATATTGTTGACTTTGGTAATACGCAGAACTTTCCTTCATTATCATCTCAGTATAAATGGATTTTGCAGGTTTTTAAAAACTTTCAGAAATTTGCAAAAAAATGTGGATCAGCAGCACCTAGTGAATTGATTACAAGGAGCTGTATTTACTACTGCTGCACAATGATTTTGTTCCATTTTGTGCTACAGAGAGATTAAAATCTGAAAAAATATTAAATGATGCAAAGATTGTTCAGTATTCTTCCAGGATATTGATAAAGCAAGAGAAAGATTTATATGTTATGAATATCCCTAGAAAAAAAGAACACATGCGGGATTATTTCATCATTTCTAGTTGCTGCTGAACAAACAGATTTCTTATATGGGTCTTACAATTTCTTCCCTACAGTATAATAACTCTAAGAGTAAAATATAACTAGCCAAACTTTACCCCAACTTTAGGAATGTAAGTAGGGATAGCTGGCAATAGAATAGAATAGAATAGAATAGAATAGAATAGAATAGAATAGAATAGAATAGAATAGAATAGAATAGAATCAGGGTTGGAAGGGACCTTGGAGATCTTCTAGTCCAACCCCCTGCTCAGGCAGGAAACCCTATATCATTTCAGACAAATGGTTCTCTTGTGTTGGAGCATTCACAACTTCTGGAGGCAAGTTGTTTCACTGGCTAATTGTTCTCACTGTCAGGAAATTTCTCCTTAGTTCTCTCTATGAGTTTCCATCCGTTGCTTCTTGTCCTGCCTTCAGGCGCTTTGGAGAATAGCTTGACTCCCTCTTCTTTGTGGCAGCCCCTGAGATATTGGAACCCTGCTATCATGTCTCTTCTTAAAAATTTCCAATTTTGGAGCATTCACAACTTCAGGAGGCAAATTGTTCAATCACACAGCAAGGGCCATATCAACTCTGTTGATAGCTAGCATGTCATGAGTTTTTGTACTATGCCCTTCTTTCATCTTGGTGGGAAATCGTCAGCCATTATTAACCGGAAGTAGATCTGAGGGATAAAACCGAAGCTTCAGTCAGTCATTTGGCACCTGCTTCCTTGCCCTGACATAGAGAGTGGTCAAGGTATGTTAAAAAAAAATCAGGTTGGTGGTCACAACGGGATGACTGAGGCTCAAAGTGGACCATCATCTGGACTTTTTAGCCACATCTTGTCCCATTTCTAGGCATCCCTGATTCTAAGTTTAGGAGGCCATCAGCTGCCCCTCCGGGTGGAGCAGGGAAAGTGTGAGGGGAGCCGTCTGTTCCAGTACAGAGACCTATTTGGCTGCCATACAGTATTTGGGGCAAGCTTGGAACTTGGGAAAGTTTTAAAGGAGCCGATGCCAACGGGCACAAGGTCTTCCATGCAGTAACTCAGTGTACTTGCTGTTCACCTTGATGTTAGCCAATATTTTCTTTTATTTTGCTGTTTTTAGCAGGATTTATTTTTTTCTTTCAGGCCTTTGGTTATATAGTTTGTTTGTGTGGTTGTAAGGTATGTTTGGCTGTTACATCTTGCTTTTTGTTCTGGAGTCCAATGAGAGAAAAGTGAAAACACAAGACTCGTTTGGTATCAATCAGGAAATTCATAAAGAAGAATGTATTGATAACACTAATTCCTATCCACTCTCTAATTCATGTTGAGGTTCAAAATGGGTAAAGAGAAAAGTTATACTGGGTCAGCTACTCCATTGTCCCCCAAAACTGGGAATGGAGACAAAAGTCTTGAGCCAAGTGTTGCCCCAAATGACAAGTCTGTTCTTTTCTTTTCAGAGTCCAGAAAAAGAAGAAGCAAAGTCACTGGAAATAGGAACCGGTTGCCTAACGGGATGAATCCACCAACCATCCTCTTTGTCATGCTGAGCGCACTCATCACAGAGAGGGCAGCTTCGGTACGTTGTGCAACCCTCCAGCGATACAACTGACAACGGCTGGGACTTGCTTCCATTTTTGAGCATAAATACGAAGCTTCCGCTTCTCCCCATGACTCAAACTTATTTTTAGCCCTTTTTTCGTCTCTCCCCTGTGGTTTCTCACTTATAAACGTAGACAACCTTTTGTTTGGTGATGTGTGAGTGAGTTGGCACTTGTTGTAACTGAGCTAACCATGTTATAGGTTTATTCTAAAGCAGTAAGTGACTTCAGCATTTTAGTCACTGCCCCTCCTGGTCCTGTGTTACTCCTTTTTTATATATCCTGCATTCCCCCCCCCCCCAAATGCTGGACTGTTTTCTAGGCTTTTCTTTCTTCTGGCCTTCTTGTCTAAGGGCTTTGACCTGTTCTTTCTAGAGCAGCTTAGAGAAGTTCTGGCTGCTGACCTCAGGACAGCGTGGTAAGAAAGTTCAAGTCAGTTGCTGTGATGGTTTGACTGAAGTTCTTCCCATTCATCAAAACAAGCGGAGCTTTAATTATATCTTTACAGCCACCGTATTGCCTTTTTTAAAAAAACTGTATCTTTGGGACATTTGAAGGCAGCTCATCTAATCAGTGTAGGAGAAACCTCTAGGGGGGCAACTGATTTTCCCAAGGGGCCACATGAGAAACTGGGACTGTTGTGAAGGATTGAACCAACAGGGCTGGGAAGGTGCATGTATGGACATACATAAATGGAAAAAAATAATAGTTGCCTTCAAACCAAAAACAGTTTTCTACTGTGTCTTTTTTTTAAAAAAATCATCTAGATGTTTTAGAACCTGTAGCTTTCTTTTTGAGCGGAGAACTGTACCAAGCTTTTGTAAGGAGCTACATTTAATCAAATACATTTTAATTTATTACATGTCTTAAATACAGTTTAATTTGATTTCTCCATCAGTAGGCAGTCATTTTTTCCTTTTACATTAATAATGCAGTTGGGGATCAATGTTTGGAGGGACATATATGCTACCAGCTACCGGCAACTCTTCCTGAATTATTCTCAGAGTTTTCATGAGGAAAAGCAAAGTCCTTTGTTGGAGCTGGTCCTACAAGGACGGATCAAATAAGAAAAGAGTTGTTAATGTGCTAATCCATGTCTGTGTATTTATAGATGTTGTTCTGTTTTAGACTTACCATTGGCAGAGACAACAGAAGCTGCCAAGCAAAATTAAATATGGCCATAAAGGTAAATAAACTTTTCTCCTTTTTGTTGCCCTTTAAAGATTGCTACGGTTTGGTCAAGTACCAAATTACAAATTGTCACAACCTGTTTGACCTCAAGGAGCAGCAACTTTCACGGGGTGTGTGTGTGTGTGTGTGTGTGTGTGTGTTGTAGAGGGGATTTGGGTTCACTAAATCCATAGTGTGCATAACACATACTGCATATTTGTGCTTTAATAAAATGTATGTTTTTTAAAATATCTGATTACAGGTTGCGGCTGTTTGAATGGCGGGACTTGCTTGACTTACGGGCTGTTTTCTCAAATTAAGTCCTGCGTGTGTCCTGAAGGGTATGATGGAGATCACTGTGAGATAGGTACTTTGCAACAACGTTTTCATTCCTTCAGCTGGGGAACTGGTGGGATGGGATAATCCGGCATGTACCAGGGCATCTTGGTGCTCTTACACAGCCCTGCCGCAGCCCCCTTCGCGCACGCGGGAGCCCCTCGCAGCTGGAGGAGGCTGCCGCCATGACCCAAAGGGAGGAGACTGAAGCTTCCTCGTGCAGGTTCTGAAACCAGCACTCATCTCTCAGCCATGACTCAGCCTTGGCTCTTTTCTTTCCCCCAGATGTTGAAACCAGATGTTACACTGGGGATGGCACCGACTACAGAGGGACCGAGTCAGAGAGTGAGAATGGGGAGAGGTGTCTGTATTGGCACTCTGACTTACTCAAGAGGTGGCCCTACAATGCGCACATGGAAGACGCGCTGGAGCGTGGCTTAGGCAAACACAACTATTGCAGGTAACAATGTCAGTGTGTATAACCCATTGCGCTTTGCAACCAGAGTTGTATTTCCTGCCTTCCACCTTCCCTTCTGTACACTTCTGATATTTTCCAAGAACAAAAGCAATGATGGCAGATTCTGCCACTTTGGTGCCAGGCGACCTATTCTCCTCAAACGCTTGAAGGCCTCATTTTCCCCCTTTTTTGACATAGTCTCCCGAGGTGGCCAGGTAGGAGGCTCACTTTGTTTCTATTGGCTAAATAAGAGAAGGACTTTTGGCTGCGGCCATCGACCAAAAGGTCTTTTCCAGAATGCTCAGGAACCGTGTTCTTCTATCGGATGATTATATGAAGCTTTTGCAGGGTTAACGCTGCAAGGAATCCCTCATACAAATCTTAAAGGTAATTTTTGATCTTTCTGACTGTTAATCCTCATGAAGATGTTTTGTGGTTTTCCAGGAATCCAAACGGTCGTTCCAAGCCATGGTGTTATGTTCGGAAGGGATTTCGCACGTCTGTGACATTTTGTGACATATCCACATGTCAACCCCCCCGTAAGTTGCTATATAGGTATGATGAGACCCGAAATTGGAGACTGAAGGGATGTTAATTACATTCACACGAAGTCAGCTGGCTGTGTCCTATTTGGAACCTGCAGGGCCTGAAACTTGGCCAAGAGTGGGCTAAGAGGAGCAGAGATGCCCCTTAATTGGGAAGGGTGTGCGATGTTGCACGTAGGGGGGAGAAACGGAGACCCCGGGTACGAGGCAGAGGATTTGTGATCTGGAAAGTTCCATCAGAAAAGGACTTGGTGAGGTCACAGGAAACAAGGGGAGACTGAGGGAGCTGCTGGAAGGGCTAATGCAGTTCTAGCGTGCGTTAGAAAAAGCACAAAGATGTGTGGCGTCTATTTTCTTCTGCTTTGCACTGGTGAGACCATACCTGGACTATTGTGTTGTAAGTTGGGACACAATATTTCCAGAAGAACGTGCCAGTTGTGTACAGGTTCAGAGGAGTGTGGCAAATATGGTATGGGAGCTGGATGACATGCCACATGAGGAGGGCAGACAGAAGAAACGTTGGCTATTCAGTCTGGAGAAAAGATAAATAAGGGAAAGATGAGAGATCGAATTTAGAACTAAGGAGAAATTTCCTGACAGCCAGTAAGTGGAACGGCTTCCCTCCGAAGTTGTGGGTGCTCCAACACTGGAGATTTTCAAGAAGAGGCTGGAGGGCCCTTGGTCCAGCATGGCAAAATGTCTCCTGCTCAGGCAGGGGGCCTGGACCACAGGACTTCCAACTCTTGTCTCTTCCATGCTCTGCCATGTCTGTGTTTAGCAATAAAAGAGGGCCAGGAGAGTCGGGAGTCATTTCCCACAGCACAGAAACAGGACCAACAAGAATGGGTTTAAATTGCAGCTACTCAGAGCATGAAAAGGTTTGTTCCACAGCAGAACAATGACAGTGGCAGATTCCCCCTCCCTGGAGTTTTTTTAGGGAAAAGCTAGAGAGCCCCCCAAGTATGGTGGCTTAGTTGGTTTTCCAGCAGACTGAAGAAAGTAGGACGAGATTACAGTATTATTATGATTGCTTCTACAATTCCACAGATCCATGATTCAGTAGAAAAGTAGCATGTTAACAAAAATGTATGAGGAAAAATGCGTATATTTATGAAAATAATGCACTAAAATGCATATTAAGAACTTTTATTTGTATATTTGGTGGGCAAAAATGTAATTAAATGTATACATTTAGAAAAATGCACAGAGGAAGCAATAGGTTATAATGTAAACTTTTAAATATTATTAAATATGATAAACCCAATTTGACGTATTCATGAAAATAACTGAGTATATGAAAAACAAAGCAAAAAATGATAGACGTGCCATACCCCACTTAAAACCAAAGCGGGTTATATTGCAGAGAATCCAGATTTTATTGTGAAAACCAGAAAGTCCTCTCTGACAATTGCTTTTTAAAAACATTTGTAAGTGGAGGTCTCGGGGCTGTCCGTTTTCAAGTGGTTTTAGAGAAACCTAACGCGTTCCCCAAGTGAGAGGAAGATTTTCTCCTTAGCTTATCCATTGTCCAGAGAGTTTCTTTTTGGCAAGCCCTTTTTAGTCCATTTTTAGCCCTTTTTAACTCAATTGCAAGTCTGGGCAACGGGAGCTAATTAGGTTTATCTCATAGAGCGTTTGTGAATAATGGACCATTCACTTCAACTGGAAATCCTGCAACCTCAACAGTGGGAGCTGGGGGAATTTCCGTTGTGAAACAGCTGGGGGGCCACAGATGCCCCCGTAACTGAGCTCTCTAGGTGCTATCAGTGAAGGAGACGGGAACTGTCCCCCAGAAAGGGCAATCTTACTGCTTCTAGGTGGTTTCAAATTCAAACATCTTTGCTCCCTGCTGTGTCTTCTCAATTTCTGAGAAGCCTTTGCAGAAGGCATTCCTGTTTCAACTCCTGCTTATCCAACCTGCCAGCTTCCTTCCCTAATATGCAAGGGGGTGGGTTTGGGGGGGGTGGTGGAGGCAGAATGAAAGTCCCTTCTCATTTTGTAGTCCAAAATTATACAGACCCGGGGAAGGGTTTTTACTAAAGTTTGGTTGGCTGAGAATCTGCTTTAGTAAAATAAGCCATTTCAGAGCGAGATTTCCCAGGACAGGGAATCTAGTGTTTCAAGTACAGTGTGATGAGGGCAGGAGACTTGCCTGTTGTACCGCCTGTTTGTCACTGGAACAAACCTTTGAGGAGGAATGTTGTTGCTTTCTTTTCTTTCATAGGCAGGGCGTGTGGCCAGAGGAACATAATCAGGAGCTTCAAGATTGTGGGTGGGCAGATGGCCTCCATTGAGTCCCAGCCTTGGATAGCCACCATCTTCCACTCCAGAGGGAACCAGTTTTTTTGTGGTGGCAGCCTCATTGACCCCTGCTGGGTCCTCACAGCAGCACACTGCTTCTCGGGCATGTAGGTATTCCACCCAACCCCACCCCAAATTCTTCCCTTCGCCTCGTCTTCATTGCTAAGTGAATTGTCTGGACAGGGTCAGCTTCTGCAACAGTGAAAGGAGGGTAGTCATCTGACGGAAGGCACTTCTATAAAATAATCTCCCAGGCTTATGCAGAAGTGACTACCTTAATAAAATTAGGAAAGACCTATTCTCCTAGAAATAGATTTGCAACTGCAGCTTATGTTGTTAGCTCTATATTCAGTTGAAAGTGAAGACTCCTTTAAGTTGAGTTCAGTTTCTGACAATCTCTTAGCAACTGCGTAGAAGTGATTTGTTATTATCTTCTTCTGGGAGGTTTTCTTACTCCCTAGTTTGATCTGTTTCCTGTGATCTCCTTCCCATAAACTAATCTGGCTGGATGTGCTCAGTTTCAGAGCCCAGATGAGGTCAGGCAGTCTCCTTCAGTTAGCAGCCCTGATCCCACTCTCTGTCCTCTTTCCATGCCTCTGTCCCCAATTGAGGCTGGTCCTCCAGGTTAAAAACAAACAAACCAAGAAAACCAAACAGATTTTGTGCCCCTTGAAGTTGACTTTGGATGGACGTGGAAAAATTGGGCAAAGACCACTTTAAACAGTAGAAATGACTTAGCTCTTTCCCTTCAAGCTGAATTTTAGGAAGCGCTTTGTGTGTCTGTGCAAAGAATATAATGAATCAAATAATTGTAAAAGTTCAACCAACAAGTAAACAATGACAGGATGAAATTGCTTGGTGGAAACATCTCTGAAATGCACAGCTGTACACTATTTGCCTTTTTTTTTAGTGGCTCCGATACATCCAGGCTCATCATTAGGCTGGGAAGGTCTGCAACGAATGTCACCAACGCAAATGATCAAGAATTTAGCGTCGAGAGGCTTATCATTCACGAGGCGTACTCACAACAAAACAGAGATTATAATAATGATATTGGTAAATGACCTTCTGCGTTGTCTTCCTGTCCAGCACAAAACTTTTAGATTTGATTCTCATGCTGAAAAACAAAATGGGGGATGGTGACCACAAATAACAGCTTAGAAAAATCTCTTCTCCTTTTCGCCAATCTAGTGATTTGTTTATTCACTAGCAATGTTTTTGAGAATATTAATGTTAATATTGTTAAAGTCAAACATTTTGAGAATCAGAAATGCCATCTTTCCTTTTTCTAGAAAGAGTGCATATGTAGAAAGTTAAGAGATCAGTTTAGTATTTGAGGAGACTAGAGTTAGACAGAGACCAATCATTCAGGGTTAATTTGACTGCTATCTTAGCTCTGGTTTATAATCTGTGTGCAGGAACTATGATTTTACAGTTACATTAGATGTAAATTAGGGAGGAATGTTGTTGCACATGTATTTAGTTCTAAATTTGCCTATACTTAGCATAGGGCTACTTAAGTAAAAGAAGTCCCATTGATTTCGTTGTATTTTTTCTTAAGTACGAATCCAGCTAATTTGAGTCCAGTGTGACTTTGTGTGACCCAGGAGGATAAATATTAATTAATTAATATTTATTTCTTGGACTACGTAAAGTAAAGGAAACAGAGCTACTTGAAAGCTATATTTTCTAGCTGAGATTACAATCTAAATGATTGTTTGGAGACTGGGGAAGACCAAAGATTTGGATTTTGTATTTTAACTTTGGAAATACACTTATCAACAGATAATGTGAGTTAATACACAGGCAGACTAAAACATATTAAATTATTTGGAAAAGCGATTGGAATGAGTAGCCTTAAATACAGATTAGGTTATTCTTTTTTTCATCAGAATGAATAATTGAAGGAAATTTTTCGCACAGTTTTGGTATACTCATTTTTTCCTTCTTCTCTCTCCTTTTAGCTTTAATCAAGATCAGGTCCCCTTCTGGCCAATGTGCGAAAGAGTCGGGCATTGTCAGAACCGTCTGTTTGCCCTCGGAGGATTTGAGGCTGAGAGACCATTCCCACTGTGAAGTTTCTGGCTATGGAAAACAAAACAAAAGTAAGTGGGCCGTTTTCCCTCCCTTCAGACATCTCAGAGTTTGGGAAAAAACTAGACAAGAGTATGGTTGAAGCTCCGCCTATTTTTTATATATGGTGCATGAGAAATGGGTGGAGCTTTGATTGAATTATTACGGCCCCTATTTTGACTGTCTTGACCACACCTGTAGCCCCACCCTTGCAAAGCCTCAAATTTGTGAAGAACAGACTCTGCAAATGTGACTGGAACGTGGGCTGCAAGCAAGGTTTGTGGCATGTGGGAATCCTCACTCCCTTCTGTTTTCTCTTTCTCTGAAGTAAAAAAGTTCACATCCATTTTGTCCCACACCGGTTTTATCTGTTTTGTCCACAGCAGCCATTTACTACTCGCGAGTACTGAAATCAGCCAATGTACAATTAATGCCCCAGTCCATGTGTAAAAGATACTATGAGGGTCACAGGGTGAATGAGAACATGCTCTGCGCTTCAGACTTGGCGTGGAAGTCGGACTCGTGCAGCGTAAGTTTGGGGGTCATTCACACATTTTGGTAGCTACAGAATACTCCGGTGTGAAGAGGGCTACGCAAAGGGGGGCAACGGGTCTGTGTAATACGCTACGCTTGTTTAATCTGGGGTGGGTGGAGCGCGCTGTCGCAATATATCATCAGAACTGAACTGTTGCTTAGCACACTGGGTGGACCAAGTCAACACACTAAGCCACAATCTTTGTCTGGATGGGGCATTTACAGATAGTCCTTGACTTACCATTGTTTGTTAGTGACCGTTTGAAGTTACAGTGGCACTGAAAAAAGTGACATGGCCGTTTTTTCACACGACTGTTGCAGCATCTCCGTGGTCACGTGACCAGAATTTGGGTGCTTTGCCACTGGCATGTATTTATGACACTCGCAGCGTCCTGGGAGGGTGGTGGTCACGCGATCCCCTCTTGCGACCTTCTGACAAGCAAAGTCAATGGGGAGGCCAGAATCACTTAACAACCGTGTCACTATCTTAACAACTGCAGTGATTCACTTAAAAACTGTGGCAAGGAAGGTCACAAAATGGGGCAAAATTCACTTAATAGCTGTTGCTTAGCAGTGGAAATTTTGGGCCCAAATTGTGGTCATATGTTGGGGACTGTCTGTACTTGTTTGTACACAGTGGCTGAGTTTTGATAAGCAACGCTGAGTGTGTTGGGCGAAGATCCTCCCTGGACACAAAAGTGCAGGCAGGAACTCTTCATCAGGGAACGTGTTCTTCCTTGTTTAATCACAAGACAAATTCGGCCTGTTGCAAAGCCGAGCCACCTCCCTGAGCACAAGTTGTTCTTCCCGTGGTGTTGCTCACTGGCGTAAGCCTGCTTGCAAAAGAGAAATGGCGGGAGGCCCAGGAGCACCAGGCTCTGTTAGAAATGCCCAGGAAGAGGCGAGGGGGCAACCGGGGGATTAGAAGCACCAGGCCAGCTGGCTTCCCGTACTGTCTTTTGGGACTGGGGATCGGAGGTGGGCAGCTGCTACTTGCAAGCCTCGAGTTCCCTCTGCTGTGGTTTCTGCTGGGCCGGTCTTTCCCTTGGAAGTCAGGGAGACCCTTGACATGAGGGCTGAAGCTGACGATGCTTCTTCCTGCCCCTGGAGAAGACTTCTGCCGCTGCCTGGGGCACAAGGGGCCAAAGCTGAAATTGTGCTTTCAAGCGATGCGGCCTTCCCTTGCTGATAACCTTCCGCCTTGCTTGGTCTTTGCAGGGAGATTCGGGCGGTCCCCTCACTTGCATGTACGGCGGCAGGATGCTGCTCTACGGGATCGTCAGCTGGGGAGACGGCTGTGCAAAGGAAGGGAAGCCCGGCGTGTACACGAGAGTCAGCAGATACATCCCTTGGATTGAATCCAACATGAACAGTATCCATTTCAGAAGCTTCTACCCTCCAAAATGAAGCGGGGTTGTTTCTGTGTGTTTCCTTTGCTTGGCGTTAGCCATGATGATGTCAGACACATGGAATTGGAGTCAAGTCTTTGCAGGTGTTGAAGTGCCCAGCCCTGCGTTGGAGTTGGTGGTTCTTTTCAAGGTTTTGTGGGATCCCTTTGTCAAAGTTTGGACAATTTCTCTCTGAAGGAGAGACGCTCAAACCACTGCTGAGAAGGGCACAAAAGCCATCCTACACCAAGCTAGCCTGCCTCGCTCGTCAATAAGACACGGAGCCGGGATTTAGATCACACCCCACAGAAGGGCTGGTGTTATACAATCTTGATGATTTTTTTAAAAAAGATTTTAGTAAGGTTTTAAAATTGATAATTAACTTACTAACAGCTAGCGCTACCCAGAAATGTACAATTTGATATTATTTTAAAATATTGCAGAATTTGAATGGAATTTAAAACTTTTAAGTGAGGTTGCACTGTCAAGTTTTTAGGTCCATAGAGAAATATGGCTAGGATATTCCTACTCAGTAAGACAGGAAGCAGAATGTTTCAAGAATAATAATAATAAAAAAAATGGAGGCAGGAACATAATCCGTAAGAACGTGCTTCAGTTGAAATTAATTGGAGCAATGGTTGATAAATGTTTTGAACTTAACTCAAACTATTTCTGCTATTACTTTTGTTTTAAAAGGTCAGAAATGCATTAGACATGTTGTTAAGTAAGACTTTTACTTAGGAAGTTAAGTGTTAGAATATTTTTGAAATCATAATGTTCAGAGTTACATTTCCATGCTATAAATTCACGAGATACGTACGAATGTTAAGTCATTACTGTACTTCAGCATCCTCACAGGACCTACCTCCATTTTGGTCTTCTAGAAACTTCTGTGGACCCTTGGTCCCTTTCTTAATGACAGAATCTGACTGTAATTGTTTAGCAGTAAAGTGATCACATTTTACTACATGTCAAATTCCACCAATGTTCAATAGTACGAAGCACAAGATAAAGCATTAACACAGCTGAGCTAAAGAGTGAGGCAGTCCTTGGAGAGAGGACTTGAGGTGGAATGCTGGAAATGTAATGGGATGCTCAGAGGTCTTTGATCAAATTGTGAGCAATAGCAAAATGATGTAAGTCAAATGTATTCTCATGGATAATTCCATAAATGTCCCAATTTCCGAACATGTCTACCATCCCTTCTGAACATAACCTGAACAAGCTGGAATTTGATCAGCATGAGTATTGTTTAATTTACTTGTTTTCTGTGACTCTTATATAGTATTAGCTTTTTATACTATTATTTTATTCAACGAACAGATAATTTGTATGGGGGCTGGCACCCTCTTTTGTTATTTAATATTTTTACTTTATTTAACTTATTGTTTATGTACATTACAGGTTTAAGCAACCAATAAAGTTCCCTGTTGATAAGACAGATGTTTGTGTCTTCTTTGGGGTGCTCTTCTGGCAGAATCAAGCTATTCCACCACCAGCCACTCCCCCACCGAAGTACATGAAAGGGGTGGGTGGGAACCCCATTCCTCCATCTCAGGCAATCCCCTTGAATCTGCACTCACTGCACTAGAAAGCAATTCCCATGCACTCCGTGACAATACAGTCTGATATCTACATCTGGAATTGTTTAGAACCTCCAATCAAAACAGCTCAGTGGTCTCTGTATAGCACAGTTCAGTTCAGTTCCCTTTTGGATTGATAAATGCTCCCACTTTATTGCCTGCACATGAAGATCCAATTAAACTCATTTATTGCTAAAAAGCCTTTGCACAGGAACCTTCTCAACTAATGGTTAGCCCTTGCTTGGAGTTAGATAAGGCTGAATGGAATTCAAGGGGGTGGGTTATGTAGGGATTCTAGGCTGATCCCTCTTTTAACTCTGCCCCCTGCACTACTCCTACGCTCACATTTGTAATCCGTGCCCATTCAATTAGACTATCATTGCAGACATTCAGATGTGTAGCTAGGACTCTTATTACGCTAACTCAGATTGCTGGCTGCACTAACCAGTATTATCTTATCTGTTCAGACAGCCAAGAAGTCAGGAAGCATTTCTAGCTAAGGTGTCTGATAGCAGGAAGAAGGGCCAGAAAGAGAAACAGCAAGCAACATTGTTTATTGTTGCAGAATAACTGAAACAGGGCTTTATACTTTTCTAATCAAACATCGGAGTGAGAAAATTCAGGAGCTACCTTTAAACCAAGATTCTCAGCCAGGTCCATCTTTTCAGTGAAGAGTGTCCATATCACCCTGAGAGTATTTCCTAAAACCCTTGTTGTCACATTAAAGCAGTTGTGGTGAGTAAGCAGCTTAACACCCAAGAGATCGACGACCAGTCTATAAATCCCCTCACCCTCATGGCTCCACCTTTAAGGCTTTTCTCCACAATCTTTGGTGAGCTGAGAACATCCCAAGGAACCAGGTAAGGTAGCAAGAAGTCCCCTTCCCACATACCTTTTGGATAGAAGGCTCATCCCTACAGAAGACAGCCTGCTGCTGCTGGTTCTGGCTTGTTTTTCGAGGGCACAGAAAACCAAGAAAGGAGATCAGAAACTAAATGTCAACTGTTAGCACAGAAGAAAGCAAAACCAGCTCTGATTTTCCTGCTTGAGGCTTGCTTAGTTAAACAATGGACTCTCTCCCCTCACCCATCGGGTGTTCACATTCTCCAATAGTAATATTTCTTCTTGTTATGGAAAAAGTCCACTTCTCCTTCCAGTGGTCTTGGATCTCAGTTGCCTAGACATCACCCCTCCCACCTTTGCATTCCATTGTCAAGATACGAGCAAAAGAGAAAAGCTAGATCAGTGATGGAGAACCTTTTAGAGACCAAACTATAACCCCAAACCCAGTTTTTGCATCGTCGGGTGCCGGGTGGGCGTGGCCCATTGGCTGGGCGTGGCCCATTGGCTGGGCGTGGCTGCAGTGGTAACGGCAGACTGGGTGAAAGGTTCAATCAATCAATTCCAACTTTATAAGATTTTTTTTTTCCCGTGAGAAGTTGAAATTGACTGATTGAACCTTTTTTTTTGTACACGGCAGTGGAGGTCTAAAGCGAAAAGGTTTTATAAAACCCAACTGAAGGCCTAGGATTGGGCGACGGCGCACGTGCCCATAGAAAGGGCTCTGAGTGCCGCCTCTGGCGCCCGTGCCATAGATTCGCCACCACTGAGCTAGGTGAAAAGGCAAATCAGTCTTGACATACTGACCCCCCTGGAAAGAAAGGCAGACCTGGAACAACAATAAACGTATAAACGCAGTATTACGTACAACCCAATTACTGCTACATTCCTTAATGGGGCTGCTGAGGATACCTAACGTGAAATTTCTTAACTAACTCGCTGCCCTAACTAACATCAGGGCAGCCATCCTTTCAGCGTCTGCTAACGGGTAGCCTTCCCACAGTACTAGCTACTGTCATTTCCCCTTTGGTATCTGGAATCGAGAATCTTTTTAATCTCAGAGTTTGCAATGTGAAAGAAAGACTTTCCTACTAATTCTCTACTAATATGAGGATGTTACACATTAGCAGCAAATAAGGCTGAAGACAGGATCCTTTCTATTATTCATATTAATCACATTTGATAGTGTTACTGGGTCATACAACTCTACAACAGGATTAACAATCTCCATATTTCTTAAGCTTCAGGTATTAGCCATCATTTTATAGCAATGTTCCTTTTTCTGTCAGAAGCGGCAGTCTGGCCATCGCCCATCTGGGGGAGCCAAACTATAATTTGCAGTAATAACTTGGGTTATTCACTCTGTGCAGGATGGGAATTTAGGGACAGTTTTCAAACATGGTTTTGGTTAGCCACATTCATTCAAAAATACTTGCAGGAATCCTAAACACCGCCACTTTAGACAAATTCCATACACATCCAGAATTTTTTACACACATTCACGCTGCAGTATAAGATACACAAGCCCTGGTTTATTATGCTAACGGAGGAATACCCTGAAAACGTCTCCTGCAGGGACATGGTCAGGAGAGGCACCCGTGACAAGGGTGACGCTTTGATCGCACACTTCCTGAATGTCCTGACAAAAACAAAGACCCCTAAAATCTACATACCCCACCCAAACTCTAAAGACATGACCTTTAGGACATGATAGGATTAACCCACCAATACCAAAAAGGGCACGCTCAGACTCACATCAAAGTACATGACACAGGGAATACACAGCCTCAAATAGGAACAACTCCAAACACAAAAGCCCAAGAAGGTATAAAAACCCACCTCTCCCAGCACCATGTGGTCAGCTGCTCCAGAGCCTCATGTCTTGTGGTTCTGCTCTTCAATAAACTACAACCTTCTTTCTAAAGCAGTCTCCATTTTGTTTATTCCCGGCTTGGACTGGACTCCGAAGAAGATTTTTCTTTCAACAATAGATTAATTCAAGGGTATCTGTAGGATATGGCCAAAAAAGCCAAGATGGTGACTATAACAATGCAGTTAAAACTGTGTTTATTTTTAAGTTGTGGCTGCTATTCTGACTTTCTTGACCATCCCCTGCAGATGCCACCTGTTTAATTGAAGGGCCGATGGCTCTTTTCTCACATCAGACTGCTGTTCATCTGCTTCTCAGTTATCCTGTTTCCCAACATTCCCCTTTCTCTCCTTCTCCTTCATTATCCATGAGTGCTTCACTGCACCCTTTCAAGTCCAACCATCTGCCCAAACAAGCCAGTTTTCCCACCGGGACAACAGAGAGTTAAAATGGTTGCTTGAAGCTTTTGAGCAGTTTCTAGCATAATTCTGTCTCTTCTGCCACCCCCTGACCGGACAACAACTTTGCAACCACAAGGGCTTCATTTCGGAAGAGGGAGTTTGGCAGAAGAGTTCCTACAAGAACCACAAAAAGTCTACACAGGGCCAAAGATTTGTTTTATTTTCAAAAGCACCAAGCAAGAAACGGGCAGGCCATCAGAAGGTCATTTTGTATTTTTGTGCATGATTACCAGGAAAAAGGAAGCTTGCCTTCCCCTTTCTGGTCTAATTTGCAGCAACATTATTGTTACTGTAGCAACCTGGTTGATCTATTGCAGGCTGATTTATTTTTTTTTTATGAAGGAATCCACTTCCACAAGCATGTGCTCCCTGCGGATCCCTCAGGAGGATCACATTTCCTCTTTGTGACCTGCTTCAATAGCCCCAAGAGAAGATGGGAACAACTGCAGCCAGCTTAAGCAAATGCGTGGAGTATCTGGAAATGCCGCCACTTTTACAAGCCTCCCCCCTCCTTGTAAATGGGTTGTAAAGTCTCTGTTCTAAGGGGGGGCAGCTGTTGCCATGAGCCTGTGCCTCATTAAAAGGAAAAAGGGGTCTTCTGAATAGTCCTTTGCTTACAAAAGCACCAAAGCTTCTGGCACCACTGGAGCAAGGTGCCGATTACAGCGGGTGGCCCAACCAACCAGGAGGGGGGGTGTTGAGGTGTTCATGGTTCTGCCTGTTGCACCTGGGAAATTTCATCTCTCCTGAATCTCATCCTGTTTTAAAAACTGCAGAAGATGCTTGCAAGTTGGCACCTCTTTTGTAGGCACGGGGGGGGGGGGGGGGAATGTCCCTAACACAAACAGAGATGCACAGTGGGTGGCAACAGTCTGAAAAGCTGGTCACAATGTTCACTCACACACACACATGCACAGAAACCCCCACAACATTTTAATTAGGACTGGAAATCAAGGCCATGTTGCTGTTGCAACCCCTTGCATGAACTCCGCCTGGCTGCTTCTAGTTTTTGCTATTTTCTCGGCACTCTTTTTAGGAGTGACTTTCCATGCTTGCTAACCTTCTTCCTAAGGCAGAGAAAAATTGACTGGCACAAAGTCACCCAGCTGGGCACTGAGTGTCTAAGGCAGGACTAGAAGTCCCCATTTCCTAGCTTCTCATTCAGCCCCGCCATCACTAGACCAAGCTGGTTATTATGGTCTTCAACACCACCACCCCCCCTCCTTTTTTTCTAGAGAAGAAGGACTGAGCTAATTCCTGTGATTTATACCCACCAAAGGTCGTGGCTCCTGGCTCCACTATTTTGTTTAGTCTAAAGCTACTTATTAACATCTGGAGGGAGGATCAAAGAGCTTTGCCCTCGTCTGGTGGGTGGTTGAAGGCAATGAATGGGCAGATGGCCGGGACAGGCAAGGAGAGAAGCCACCTAGCAGCCAGCTGACCCAGTTAGGTGACGCCTCTGACCTAAGCAGGGCCGTGGGGTCGGTCAACCTCGTCCTTCCCCTTTTCATGGCATTCGGTTTCTCAAGCATCCAGAGGTCGCAGCTGTGAGCTGTCCTTCACGGTCTGTGGGTTCCATCAGTTAGGAGATCTAATCTGGGGGTGAGGACAGCACCAGAGGCTCAGACCCAGGTTTAAGGACAGGCGCAGCTATCTGGCAATTGCATTTTTCCATGTG